GGTGAATCGGGTTGGGGTTTTGCCTGTTGGGAGAGCCAGGCAGCTGGCACCCTTGAGATGGACTCTCTTCCCCGACGTCTCCCAGTCCGGTGCAGGTGGCAGGTGACCTCAGCCCCTCTCCCCACTTTCAGGCCTGCAGCCCTAGACTGGCAGGGTTTGGGTTTGGGGCTTCCATGAGGAGGGGCACCTCTCCTCGCTCCATCTGGTGGAAAATATGGTCTTTGGGGTCACTGGAAAAGTCTGGTGGCGGTGGTGGCCATGGCCCCTTTGGGAAGCTGGGGGGATCCAGGGGCTTGGTTTGGGCAGGGTGAGCCCTTCCCTGGGCCCTGCTCCTGATGTGGGGTGACAGTAGGCCCTGGCCTGCCCTGGCCCTCCCTCCAAGGCTCTGTTGCCTGAAAGGAGAGGTCTTCTGAACCTATTTGCCTGGGAAAACTCAGGGTTGCCAATCTGTCCAGCCCCATCCTTGTTTCCTGATGCCTCCAGCAAGGGCTCCTAGGCCTCCCGCTCTTCCTCCTGGGCCAGACTCTCTGGCATCCAGCCAGGCCCTCCTGGACTGGCATCAGAAACCCTGCCCATCCGGCCTGGGGTGGGGGCCCCCGGTGCCTCATTGGGTTCTGCCTGGTCTAGGAATGCAGGGACCTGAGCATTTTCTCTTCTCTGAATGGCAGGGGATGCTATGGCATCATCAGAATCCGAATTGTCTTCTGCAGGGTGCTCAGGCTCAGGAGCAACTGCACTGGCATCTTCATTACCTGGGTAGGGGTGGGAGGGGTCATGGGTGGCAGGGCCAGACTCAGCAGCCTCTCCATGGGCCTGCTCATCCTGGGAGGCAGCTGGGTCTTCACTTTGTACTTCAGCTCCCTCTTCACCTTCCACCTGCTCATTCCTAGGTAGGGCAGCCTCCCATGCCTCAGTCTCCCTAATGAGCCGGAGAAGCCCCAGGAAGCCGGGTGGCCTCCTCTCCAGACGCATCCTCCTCAGGTTGTTCTGGAGCATCTGGTTTGGTCGGGCCCTCATCAGCACCTGCCGGGCTCGCAGCTGGTCAGCAATAGCCGGATGGATGGCCCCCTTCTCCAAGGCTACCTGCAGCAGGCCTTCCAGGCGCATCACATAGGCAAAGAGAGTCTCCTGAGGCCGCTGAGAGCAAGTCAGGAACTTCAGGCGTGCGGTCATCCGGGTGTCCTTGTTCCCAAACACCTGCACCAGCGCGGCCAGGCAGTCCTGTGCAGGAGTGTCTGGGTGTTCTTCCAGGAGCCCACACATGAGATCCAGGGCGGGCCCACCCAAGCTCTCCACCAGCCTCCTCCTCCTCTCCCTCTCGGATATGTGGCGCCACAGGTACAGCATGTCGTTGGCATGATCCAGCCAGCTCTCGAAGGAGTCTTCCCCACAGGCTGGCTCTTCAATCCCAGAAAAGCTTCTCAGCTCCTCATAGGCCATGTTCTCCAGGACAGGCTGCAGGGCCTGGCTCCACTGCTGGGTCCGGGCTCCCGCGTCATCTGTCCCTCCTGCCATATCCAAGACTCGTTCCTCACCTGCAGCTCCTGCCTCGCCTGCAGCTCCTGCCTCACCTGCAGCTCCTGCTATACCTACAGCTCCTATCACACCTGCAACTCCCATATCACCTGCAGCTCCCTCCTCATCTGACTCTCTTGCTTCATCTGCAGCTCCTATTTCACCTGCTTCCTCTGCTTCACTTGCAGCTCTTCTCTCACCTGCGGCTCCTCCCTCACCTGCAGCTCCTGCCTCACCTGCAGCTCCTCCATCACCTGCAGCTCCTCCCTCACCTACAGCTCCTGCCACACCCACAGCTCCTATAATTCCTGCAACTCCCATGTCCCCTGCAGCTCCCTCTTCATCTGACACTCTTGCCTCATGCGCAGCTCTTACTTCACCTGCTGCTTCTGCCTCAGCTGCTGCCCCACGTGCAGCTGCTGCCTCACCTGCAGCTCCTGCCTCACCTGCAACTCCTCCGTCACCTGCAGCTCCTGCCTCACCTGCAGCTCCTACCAGACCCAAAGCTCCTAGAACACCTGCAACTCCCATGTCACCGGCAGCTCCCTCCTCATCTGAGGCTCTTGCCTCATCTGCAACTCCTATTTCACGTACTTCTGCCTCAACTACAGCTCCTCCCTCACTTGCAGCAACTCTGCCACCTGAAGCTCCTACCTCACCTGCAGCTGCTGCCACTTCTTGCCCCTGAGACTGTGCAGTGAAATTGGGTCTCTCTTGTAATTCAGCATCAGAATCTGGGGGCAGGAAGACCACAGTCCAGGGTCCTCCCTTGCCTGGCATTTGTCGGGGGATCAAACTTCTGTTTAAAGTGTCACGGAATTCAATCAAGGCTACCCTGGACCCAAGCTCCTTCCTCAAGACCTTGCCCAGCACTCGGTACCTGCCCAGGGGCCAGAGGGCAGCCTGCACGGCCTCCTGGAATTCATCTTCCTCGCAGTCATCAGGGATGCCCAGGATGAGTAGTGAGCATTGTGCATTCACGCCCATCCACTGACACCAGTCCTGCAGCATCGCCAGCGCCATAGCAGGGGACCTGGTGGGAGGGAGCATGATCCGACAGGGTGTGAGCTGAGGGTGGCAGTCTCTGCTGCAGCCTGTGAGGACAAAGGGGAGAAAGGGATGTGGGTGCCAGACAGCCCTACCCCAGGGACAACTGGAGACCTGCCACCACCCTCCCCAGCAATAGCCTAAAGCATTTTTCCTTCCCCGTGTCGCAGCCAGAATCCCCCATTCTGGTCCTGCAATGCAGCGACTGAGTCCCTGACTATACGTCTCATGTCTGTAGTGAGAACCCCTTTCACCTTGGCTGACATCCGCCGATCCGACCTTAACAGCAGAAGCCCCTCCCATTACCATCTGCAACCCTGCAGCTAGGAGGTCTCCGCTCCTCTTTCCCAGCGCGGGATCTAGAGTTTCCGATCTTGGATCCTTGATCCCTGCTACCTGGCAACACCCTCTCGCGACTCCCTTATCCCGAGCTAAGAGACCCCTCCCCACACACAGCCGGAGCCTCTTTCTCTCCCACTGTCACCTCCATCTCTGCAGCCAGAGCTGGCCCCAAAGCTTCAGCCAGGAGCTCTTCCTTATCAGACTCCTGCAGCCGGGAGGCTGCACCACCTCCGGTCTCTGCATTCGTCCTATTATGTCCCCTTCCTCCGTCTCCCTACCGGGGCAATCTAGCCTCTTCCCAGGGTATTCGCAGTCACTGTGGGGTCCCTTCCGAGCAAAGCCCCTGGCTGCCTGCTCACTTCAATTCTGCTGATGTTGTGGATGCCCCCAGGGAAATGCCGCCTTCAGGTTGCAGAGCTGTTTCTGGCGGTCGCCTCAAAGTCCTGCAGCAGGAGGTCCAAGAACACCTCAGTCGACCTCCTGGGGCTGCGCAGTCCGCTGGCAGGAGGAGAGGGATGAGGTGGTCTCCCAGACCCTAGTGAGATTCTCACTTCTCCCAGAAGCTCCAGGTAGATGAGAGAGAAAGATCTCAGTGCCCCTGTGTAGGGCAAATGGCTGGACAGACTGAGATGTCAGTATTGCCAGTGGTGACAGGATCTGCAGTGGTAAGAGCTTGACGTGGCAAGGCCTGGAGCCTCCAGGATCAACAGGCACATCCATTGGCCCTCCACCAACAAGATGGCCTAGTGGAAGTGCAGGGAGAAGGGGGGAGGGGTAGCTGGAAAACAGAAAGCTCATGGTGGGGGGCTGGGGCTGGAAGCTTAGAGGTAGTGGACAGCTAAGTGTTGGGGCTCCAGACTGGGTCCCCAGTGTCACTCTGTATTTACAAGTCTACCACATTATTCTAAGGCCCTCTACAACAGGCAGAGGCTAATTCTCCCTGACTCAAGGGCCTCATCGCAGCTCCTTATGCTACAAAGCCAGCCTTCATCACCTAGGAAGCCATTACACTGAAGAAATGATGAGTTTCATGTTATGGCTTCACTTTACTTTTTTCTTTTTCTCTTTGACAGTGCTAGGGATCAAACCTAGGGTCTAAGCACTCTATTACTGAATTGCACCCCCAGCCCTGAAAGCTGTGTTCACTTTGTAGCTAAATAGTGGTTTTACACAAATCACTGAAGATCTCTGCCCCTCCTCTATAAATATGCAATAAGAACACCCTTCCTGCATGGTTGTCATGGAACTTTACCTTCCAGTGGGCATAGTAAATGACCATAAGGGCCCAGAAAAAGAAAGGGGTGATGAGGCCAACAATGGTGAGGATATTGAAAGTTGGTTGTTGCAGCCACTTTTGAAGGCAGCTTTTTCCTGGGGCAATCACAACAACTTCAGAATCAAAGTGAGCAGGAAACCAGTGGTTCTAGGTCTGAGCTCTGAAGAAAAAAGTGATGTGACGAGAAACACTGGAACTGCTTTCCCCCCAAAAAACAAAGGATTGGCTGAGGTGAGACATTGTGGGTCTTTTTCTGCAGATGTCAGTCAAGAATGGCCTTTGGGAAAATTCAGCCAATCTCTGTCATGTCTGGGACTGGCTGTCCATCTGGTAGCAGCCTTGAAAGTTCCCCAAGACTGGGCCCCACTACAACCCTGAGTACCGACCTTTCATGACCACAAACATGAACAGTGGAGTAGCTGTTGGCAGAGGCAAAATATATCTGATGTTCCAGGCACAGTGGAGGTGAAGAACTTGCACATGAATTCCTGTGTTAGATTGATTTTTTAATGTCCCTGATTCTCCACTTTCCCCGTATCAACACCCTTTATATTACGACTTCAAAACTATTTCCATTACAAGATGGAGTCTATTTCCCCATCTCAGGAATCTAGACTGCTTTAGGGACTGCTTTGGAAAATATAATTTCAGGTGCAATGAATTCTTATTACTATCATCATGGATAACATTGTTCCATTACGTCACATGTTTTTGGATTTGTACTGTATGCCAGGCATTGTGTTTAAAAGAACTACACTGAGAAAAAAAAAATATATATATATATACACACACACACACACACCCCATGAGGGTACATCCTTTCCATGGTCAAGCACTCATTTACCTGAGATATATAAATTCAATACAATCAGGATTTGAGCTGCAGCATGACTTGAATTTAGATCATTTAGCATCAGGCTCCAAGTGCCTTGAAGTTGGAATCTGTCCTATGTATATTATAAGTTGCTGCCTTTAGATGCTAAAGTCAAGCAGGACTTTGGGGTCTAAACACCACAGTGAATGAATTTCTGTCTCACCTCCCACCCTTTCCTCCTCTCACCTCCCTCAGTCTCAGCCATATTTTCTGTCCTTTTGCACTCATAAAATAAACCCATTAGGAGGATACATAGATGGGGAGAATTAACTATGCATTTGGAATTCCTACAGATTCTAATCTCTCTACTCAGGCCACACAATCATTAACAGTCCTTATCCCAGCAATTTTTCCACCAATGGCTGGACCAATCTTCTGTTTTCCAAGCCCATGTTGCCAGGGAGGAAAATGATCATTGGTATGTGCTTGTCTCTTTCTTTCTATCTCTCTGGAATGTAGTTACTTTAGAATTCATTAAATATACAACTCTCAGATGTCCTTCAAAAATATATGACATTGGGGCTGGGGTTGTCACTCAGTAGTAGAGTACTCACTTAGCATGCATGAGTTACCGGGTTCAATCCTCAGCACCACATAAAAATAAAATAAAGGTATTGTGTCCACTTACAACTAAAAAATGTAGAAAAATGACATTTTTATCATCTGATATTTTTGCAGTTTGTTATAGTGCAATCAGTGGTTTTTCAGGACCTACCTTCTAACCAGAAGTCAAAAAAAAAAGCCTTCTCCAGATCCACAAAGGAACTTCTTGCTCTTGAGACATTTTAAATGATCACACTCCCTTTTCTTCTCGGTTTTGGGGGTTGAACCCAAGGTGTCACACATACTAAGCACATGCTGTATCACTGAGATACTGAGATAAAACTTCATCCCAATGGCATCTCTTTAAACACTAGAACAATATAACATAGCAGGAGCTGGATGTAGTGGCACACGCCTGTAATCTCAGGAGCTTGAGAGCCTGAGGAAGGAGAATCATGAGTTCAAAGTCAGCCTCAGCAAAAAGCAAGGCGCTAAGCAATTCAGTGAGACCCTGTCTTTAAATAAAATACAAAATAGGGCTGGGGATGTGGCTTAGTGATTGAGTGCTCCTGGGTTCAATCCCCGGTACCAAAACAAACAAAACACACACACACACACACACACACACACACACACACACACACAAAGAGTATCCTGTGTATGTGATATTTTGGCAGCAGAGGGAAAGTTATCCAATGGATTTATAATTTCCTTAATGTATATTTCTAAAGAACTAGGGAAATTGATAATGCTAGCTTGTTTTTGCTCCCTGGGTGGGAAAATTGTAAGTAGACAGAATTATGCACCAGATTTGTCAATGGGAACATGTATAAATAGACCTAGTTCACTGCATATTTTTCTGAGATTCATGTTGGATTATCATCTGATTGTTAGAAGTTCCCCTTCCTTCACCCTATCCCATCTACTTTATTAACAATCTTCTTGAGTTTTTATGTAGAGTGCTGAAATAATGAAACATTGCACAGCCAGACTTGGGAACTGATGTTGGCTCCCTGGTTGAGGTGCAATTAAGAGCTGAATAACAAATAATTCTTTCCTCCTAAGATATGAACAAAGGTTATATTCATTTTTATTGTCCAAATTGTTACACACACACACACACACACACACACACACACACATCTGTATATATAAATTTAGTGTTTCCTAAATATACTATATGATAATGATACAGACTGGCAGCACTGAACATATTTATGGTTACAATTTTCTCCTATCCTAGGGTCATTTAGGGAAGCATATACCACAGCTTGTGTGGTGGCATGTAGGGAAAAGTAGCAGAAGCATCTGACGGAAATAGGAGACTCAGTGAATAGTGATATGATAACAGAAGTGAGTAGATGGTTGGAACTCAGTACAATGATATATATGCTCACTACACAGGGTGCATAAAACATAAACCCCTGAGAACTAGACTTTTAGCACACCAGCCTCTAGTAAGAAATGCACCATGGTTTTCTTGGGGTAGAGGAAGATGTTAAGTTCTAGGGCAAGCCAGTCAAGATTTCTAGTTGTTGGATCTGAAGCATCTTCAGATGGTGGAGTGAGAATGACACTGGCAACTGACAAGTTTCCCCATCTGCAGTCTGAATATTTTGGTGACAGTATAGACATAAGAGGTTTTGGATAACCCATAGACAGTGGTCAGTTTTGATGACTGCACATATCTCTGTCATAGTCCTTTTTTTTTATTGCTATAACAGAGCACCGGAGATTTCTGTAATTTATAAATTTATAAAGAGGCTTATTTGGGCTCATCGTCCTGGAAGTCCCAAAGCATGGTGCTAGCACCTGCTCAGCTTCTGGTGAGGACCACATGCTGCTTCATATATTGTGGAAAATTGGAAGGGGAAGCAATCAAGAGCAGAAGAGGAGGACAAAGAGTTAATCCAGTTTATAACAACCTAGTCTCACACAAATTAATTTATTCCCATGAATACAAATCCAGTTTCATGAGAAAGATACTAATCCCTCTTAAAATATCCACTTCCCAACACTGCCACCTTTGCAACCAAATTTCCACATGAATTTTGGCAGGGACAAACTACATCCAAATCACAGCAGCTCCTTGGAGAAGCAAGAATTGTGTCCAATGCCAGATGATTTTACATGACTATGTCCTGGACTTCTTACTGAAGTGGGTTCAGTAAGAAAGTTCAGAGTCACAGATATTTCCAAAAGCAAAGTCTGTAAAATATGGTCGTGGTGAAGTTCCTGAGTGGCCTGTAGCAGGAGCTCCACGCATGATTTACCACAGTGGTCAAGTCTTTAAAATTTATTCCCAATCTCTTAGACTTTTGTTCAATGATATCTTGAGAATTGGGTGAGAAAAGGAGATCACAGACTTCTAAGGATGGGATGTACACCAAACTTTATAACTGTGACATATTTCTTTTGAATATTCTACTGCTTGAAGAAATTAAATCAAAGATAATAGAGTAGCAAGGGTGAGAAAAGTAGGCAGTCTAAGGATTCAATAGGGAGGACTGGGGTTGTAGCTAAGTGGCAAAGTGCTTGCCTAGCATGTGTGAGGCACTGCGTTGGATCCTCGGCACTACATAAAAAATTAACAAATAAAATAAAGGCATTCTGTCCATCTACAACTACAAAAAAAATTTTTTAAATATTCAATAGGGGCTAGTAAGGAAAAATAACAGGATCCCATCTGATTAGCAGACATATACCATTAGGTACAGTTATCACAAATAGAATAGGAGTCATTAGGTGCTATCCAGGACTCATGGAGATCATTGTCTTGGGAATGTTCATCTTGGAGTTCATATGATCCCTTTTGATGAAGATGTTGTCTTATCTAGTTAGGAAGAGGAAATATTAGGTTATTGTTTATAGTTTCTGGTGTATCAGGTAAAATCATACCTATGACCATCTAGGTCTAGTATATGCAAATAACAAGGCAAGTAATATGTACTCTTGCCTCCCATGGTATGTATTTGCATGGTGGAAAGTATATATGATTGTAAATACTTTGGCCATGAAAGAACCTTTGTAATGTTACA